ATGTTTACGTAATCTATTATCTTTTCTACCTACCTGTTAAAGTGTATTTTAAGTAAAATCACATACTATCATGATGAACAAATGTTAGTTACTTAATAATTTAAATAATTTTTATCGTAATGGGTGTCTAAACATCATGTGTAGCGGTGTGTAGTGTTAACAAGTAAAACTCAAAAAATAGCACTCTCATTGAAGCAATGCGCTGTTGGAAAACTTCTCAGCATATGCTATAATATTTATTCTATTTTAATGGTTTAACGGTTTGTTTGTTTGCTCACTAATCCTACTATTAAGTAACATTGTAGTTATATTTTTAGATTCATCATTATAAGGTCGTCAGTCCTAAAACTGTTTGGACATGCACCTCCACTCCTTCCTATCCTAAGCTAATCTTCGTATTTCCCTAAAACTAGAACATCCCACAATCTTAACTATTTGCTAGCAGTAATCTAATGTAGGTTTACCTCTTCTCCTCTTAACTCCTGTTTCTGCTTCTAGTATGGCTTTGACTAGACCTTCATGCCTAAGAAGGTGTCCTACCGACCCATCTCGCCTATTTTTTATTAACTTTCATTAACTCTGTTCTCTATTCTCTCTAACACCTCTTCATTTCTAACCTTCTCTGTCCGTGTTATCATTTGCGGGTAACACCACATTTCGAACGTTTGTAACCTTTTCTTTTCCGCAGCACACGTACATCGCCGTGCTCCAAACATATGCCTTTAGAAGTGACTTCTTTTAATTGAAGGCGACTCGACCCTGCGTTATCATCTACTTTATATCCCTACTACTCCTTCCGTTCTGACTTATCTAACTTCCTAGATACCTAAAATCAGTCAAAAAGTTAAGTTAAAATTAAAAAGCCTTTTATTTCTTGAACAAAAGATAAATGAAAAAAAAATTGCTAAAGTTAATTCTATTATTATACTATTCTTATCTTTTATATTTTGATTTATTTAAATAAATCTATACCTTAATTACATACTTATTTGTTTAATCTGCAAGAACCCCTCCGCAAGTGAAGGCCTTCTCCAAAGAAACCCATTTTTTTCTATCTTGATCTGTTTGTATACAGCCCGGACCAGCCGTTTTGGTTATATTGTCAGCCCATCTCGTAAACCATCTCCTTATGTAGCATTTTCCATTTGGGCCTCTCCAAAGTGTCACTCTTTTGGTGCATCGCTCGTCTTGTTAGTTCGCTCATCTCCATTTAATTTTTTGGGCATAGTTTGGAGCATGGGCAGCATCTTTTAATTTTCTTAATTTTTAGCAAACTTTCTTCAAGGTGTCTTTGACACGCGATTATTTTTTTCTTCATTTTGACTGTGTATTTTCAGGTCTGACAAGCATTAAGTTGCTCTCCTTGCCAAAGCTGATTTATTTCCCCAATTATATGTATTTATTTGTACAGTACAATAGTTCGTTGCAAACATATTGTAAAGTTCGTGGGTTTAACAAATTAACTATTAAGAAGAAAACTAGACACCCATTACGATAAAAATGAATTAAATTGATAAATAACTAGCATTTGTTCATCACTGACATTATGTGACGTTATTTAAAATATACTTCAACATGTAGGTATTAAGAACAATATAGAAAAGACAATAGATTAGGTAAACATTGATAGGCACCTAAATGAATTTCATCTATGTTAAATTTTACAGGCAAATATTCAAGAACTTACTATTTTAAGGGTAATATCAGCACACGCGTTAAATTAATAAGGCATGTTGTTTAATTCTGAGGTGGAAGGTACAATAATTAAAGTCTTGCAGCGAAGTTGCCTATTAAGTATATATTTACGAATATCTACGGAGTACCTCCAACGATTGATTAGTAATGATTGTACAAGTGCAAGTCTCCTGGTTCAAGTGCTTTTTGAAGTCCTTGTTCACATCTTATATCTAACTTAAAACTAGGAACAAATGCCAAGGATGTGACGAATGTCACCATTGGTGATTAACCCTTTAAAATAACTCTGTGGAGACGTACAAGGCGGGGCATTGAAACATAAAATGTTGAAAAGAGGGATGTTTACAACCTGCGAAAAATCGGCTACTTTAAATATTAACAAACGGCACTTTCTAAACGTTAAACTCATAAAATAAACACCCCATAATAAAAATGAAACTGTATTAGGGATCGTAACGGATCCTTTTTAAACCGTTACCTCCATAAACTAATTTAACCTCCCTCGAAGGGTCTACTATCAAATAAATATCATCGCCGCCTGTAAATTTGCAAAACATTCTAAAAACTGCATTTATGACCTCCATCAAAAAGAACGGTCTTGACTCTGAACAATCTCGATAATTGTAATATTATTAAGGCAAATTTCCACACCACCATTGAGGTATTTCCAAGGCGCGTTACCTTTTTTTTGGGGTTCGCCAATAGCCCCGTCATCCCATTAGAAAAAATTAATTACAATTTGAACTTTTCTAATTTACGGATTTTTGCTGTCTTACAGTTAGCTGAATTTGAATTGGAGTGGCGGGACTCTTGTTTTCTATAATTCATAATTTTAACGTAATCATTAAGCAAAACATTAGCAAAAGAAGATAAAATTTGGAAGAGTATATCTCTATAGTGTTTTCCACGACTACATATTTTTGAAAATAGTTAATTTTCCTAAAATTGGTTTTTGGTTTTCAGCCCGTATAAACATTGTGTCTGCAGATTTTCGTTATTACTTATTTCTTCAAGAATGGCATAAATGTGAAAAAAAAAACTATACTTATATTATCAGTTGGAACAGAAAGTCCTCCCCTTTGTAAATAATCAAAATAAATATCTCCAACGCAAGAGCCTTGATTGTTTATTATGAGCGAAACACAATTGTTGCAAGTTATCTTTTTACGAGCAGAATGAACTGCATATCGTGAAATTTTAAGCAGTCATCTAAATCACAATTCATTAAATAATCGGAATTTAAAATTTCAATAAACTGACTAATGTTTATGGGTGAATTTTCAACAATCTAAATTTCTGTTTCATCATTCTCTGGTAATTTAGGATATGTTAAAAACATATTCAAAACATTACCGGCAGTGGATACTTTTTTAAATGTATCTAAACTGCAGAATATTTTCATAGAGTCCAATCCGCGAGGTATAGCACATGCATTCATTTCGCATTTCATCTTTTTTTTGGGAATAAAAATATAGACATACTTACATTTTAAAAACAATTTATAATTTGAATTGCAACTGGGAACACAAGAACAACGAGGCATTTTGTTAAAAAATAAACCAGAAAATTTACAACTAAAACACACAATCTGATCTAAAACATTTTCACTTCTTTCACTTAATAGTTAATATTACCTTCTGCAATTAAAAACTGTATCCAAAAGTATTAATCACTAAAACACACTATAAGCATCCTTATTGCACATTTATTGCACGATATTTCCACTAAAATTAAAATATTATAGAACGAAAGAAACACAACAACCAATGTATTAGTAGTAACTCTCATTAACTGGGAAATCCTGGGATTCCCACAGTGTTGCCAAGTAAACCTGCAGTACGGCTTGTAAGTAGAGACGGCTGTTATATATCAGTGTTATTAATAAGACCGGCGAACACGAGCAGAGTTACTGTAGGCATACTTCTGTCTCTTTTGCTTTTACGTGGCGTAGTCAAATGTAATGCACTACGAAAGTCAAATAATACAGATCACTTGTAGTAACGAGAGTACTACCTTAATATTTTATCGTGTATATATTTAAGATTGCTATTTTATTTTCGAGTGCGAAGTCAATATATCGTTGACCTCTCGAGTTTCCTTCGCCGTATCCGTTTAATTTCATTATCAGGTATTCTTTAGCTCTAGGTTGACTTACTTTAGCATTTAAATCGCCCATAATTATATACGAATTATTTGCAAGGTCCAGCGCTTTATACAAGTTTACATGGAAAGTTTCAATGTCTCCATCATTTGCTGCTCCTGCGAGCGCATACACTTGTATAAGCGACATTTTATTGTTCTGCATTTTTAGGTTTAGTAATGTGACCCTTAAAGATGCCATTGAAGCTTTCTAAATTTTTCTTTATTCCGGTTTATTAAAAAACCGAATCCATATTGCCCCTGTGTGAGTCCTTATTGACAGAGTATACAATTTGCATATTATTTTTATTTCTGTACCCAGGCATCTTGTTTCCGATAGTCCAATTATATCGAAATTTATATTTTTTAGTGCTTCTGTCAGATCTAATTTGGAGAGTTATGATTATAACCTTCCACGGAGACCAACCGGGTTGGAAGATGTTTATTGTTGCTTGTTTGAATTGGTTCGTTTATATAATCCATGCGTGAGGATGTCCTTGATTGTTACAAGTTATTGTCTCTGTTTTCAATGTCCTGCTTGGGTGTTGTATTATTAGCTTTTTTGTTGACTAGAAAATTTAACATGCTTGGTTTCAGGACACCTTTTGATATACTGCTCAATCTTCTCATAAATAAGTGTGTTTTTATTATTTTGTTCTTTTCATTGACTTGTGTATTAGTCTCGCCCTGTGGTTGAGAGTTGTATAACAGCGAAATGAAAAGTAACCTTTTACTATTGGGTTTTTGTATGACCACTTTATCACACTATATTTTTAGTTTTTGCCCTTCTTTCTCTCTAAGTTCACTAACTCTTGCAGTTTTCTCCTCTCCTCCAATAGTTTGTTCTCTTCCTTCATATAATGTTGTGTCTCTTAAAAATTATTTCCTCTTAAATATATATTCATGCTGAGTGTTATGAATGTTTGCAAGCTTGCTACCCTGCATTTTGAATTGCTTTCTCTTTACCAGTAAGAATTGTTTTGCAAAATAATAATATATGCAGGCCTTGCAGGTAGCCAAACATTGTTGATTGGTAATACAAACAAGTTTACACCTGCAAAATTCATAGTTTGATTTCTAATGTTCAGTAATGTTATAAAAAATGTATTGTGGTAAATTAGTTTGTTGACAACTTAATTACAATGTTTTTATTCAATTTATTACAGAAAACATCATGCCACCTCAGGAAAAATTTGAGAATGGAAGAAAAGAACCAGAGCAAAAAAGTCAATATCCTATAGAAATGACGGTGACAAATAACACATACGATAATAGTAGTTGTTTGAGGAACAAGGAAAAACCGTCGGAAATACCCAATAAAAAGGTTTTCGATAATGCGAACGATGAAGAACAACACTATATAGAATTCGATGAACTTTTGCCCTACATCGGCGAATTTGGTCGATACCAGAAAATTTTGTTCTTGCTCATGATACCGTTTGCGACTTTCGTGGCCTGGGTTTACTTCAATCAGATATTTATAACAATAACTCCTGAGCAATATTGGTGTTGGGTTCCTGAACTGCAAAACTTTACACAAGAACAAAGGTAAGAAAATTATTTCCCACCTATCAACTTATTTTGTTCTCTACCCTGTCAGCCAAAGTATTGTAATTTTTCAACAAAGCAGCATTGTAATGTAAATTATATACGTCAGTAAAGTTAGCAATTAATGTTAGCATTAACAATTACGTTATTTTGATAAGTAATACTAGCAGTTTTATATCATTCACATAAATTAGAAAAAATACCTTATGAAGATAAGTTCTTATTCATGAATGTGTTAAAATATAAATTCTCCAATCGTACAATAACATATTGCCCTAAAGAATTATTTTATCTTTAGACGTTTCACTAACGCAAATATTAACATCCTCAGGTGGTTAGGAAATATTACATCGCATGTTGCTATCTTTACTATAATGATGCAATAATATTTCATGTTATTGGATGAAGAAATCAAACGATTATTACATTCAATAAAACATATATTTGAAGAACAGGAGAAGTTTCGACCCGAAAAATTTTTTGGGTTTTTTTTTAATCCAACAAAGTTAAATTCTCAAAAAAAAAACGTGAATTGTACAAAAGCAATTATTACCGTTAAAAATTAAGAGAAGAAAAACAGTTTAAAGATAAAAAAGGAAAACGATTGACAATAAATGAGGATAACATACCTAAGAAAGTATCAGCATTATATACGACAAAATTCTCTACATTAATTAAATAATAATTTTTTTACCGTTGTTCATTTTATTTTTTCTTTTCCTACTTCCCTGCCCCACATATGAATAATTTCATTAAAACTTTATAACTTTTTCCTACCTTGTAATAAAATTTTGCTTTTCTATAATTTGTTTTAATATTATTTCTGAACTCCTACATATATTGTGAATCCAACTGTACCTATTACTTTTTTAAAATTGTTTATCACTAACCTTAGTGATTTTCCTATAATTTTGACAAAAATTTTACAATCTTTAGTAGCTATCGGAACTTTGGTCCAAATGGACACTCATAAAGATTTTTGTTCCTTAAAATTGATATATTTTTTTTTTGGTTTGGTTTCACTAGTTTTTAGTTCGCTTTATGTTTGACTGTTTGGTTCTTGCCTGTGGAATTTCGACTTTAATTTTTAATTTGGACGAAACTAGGCTGATGGCTACTCAACTTTTTTAGGTGTGTTATCATTTAACTTGCCAATTATATATATTATTGAATGGAATAATCGTTTGATTTCTTCAATCAATTCTTCCGTTGAATAAAATTTCAACACTTCAATATTTCATGTTGTTCGAAATTAATTTGTATGAAATGTTAACTTCGATTACTTCGAAGTACTCGTAAATTGTAAAGCGTGAAGAATATGGTTGATAATGATCTTTACCATTATACAAGGTCGTTAAAATCACGGAATGAGGTCAAAAATGGATAGATAAAGAATCGCTCACGTACTCAAGAGGATATTACTTATTTATTTAATATAAAAATTATACAAGGGGGGTTTCTTATGGAAAGGTTTTCCAGTTCTGTTTATTCATTAGAAAAAGAACTGTTAAGTGTAAAACAAACAAGCAATTTCTAATTTTATTTTATTCAATATAATGGTTGAAGGTCGTATACACTTCTTACACTAACGAACGCATCTGCTGTTGATTCTGCAGTGTCATTAAATAGAAAACAAAAAATTCTTACGTCAGAAACGAGTTTCAAGGATTCAGTTGTTCATTTCGTAAATATCACAGGGCATATTTTTTATTTCTATGGTGGGCCTTAAAAGAAAATCAGTTTAATTTTGAAGTGGCCGCTTTCTTTTTATTTAAGCGAAGGTCTTTATAAAGAAGGCACCTCATACACAAAATAATAAAAACAAAAACCGACTACCTGCAGTCCAAAAACAGAGTCTAAAATCAGTAATGAATTAATACTCCTTGCAAGATTATACAAACAGTGTAGTCTATCTTTTCATCACCAGTAGGTCACGCTTTATTTGGTCTTGTCTAATTGTATGTAAAAAGCAGTTTCTAGAAAAAGAAATTTAGAGGTTGTTAAAAATAACTGTCATATTAACTTGTCTGAATAGTATCTATTATTGAAATTCATCTTTTTTATTTGTCTAAAATTATTCCAATAATGCCGAAGGCCAAAATGGGTTATTTATAACCGACCTGGTGTTTTGGTGTTTTTTCAATGATTTAGTAAACCAAAATATGTGTGACTGGCTGTCAAATGATATTTTGATTGTAGTAATTACGTTTTACAATAATTGTTTACAGTTATTGTCTTGCAGTCTGAGAGAGGCAATTAATTTGACACCCTGAAAAAATGTTTATCAAGTTTTCAAAAAATTTTCGTAGAAAACTATACCCTCATTTTTGATAGTATCCTATGAATCTTACAAATAGTTTTACAACACCTCTCACACTTATTGGTGAATTTGTTTGAATTGTCAACACAGGAAGTACATCTTCCTCGCCCACTTCTTAAATCATTTGCTTCTCCAGCTTCTTCTGGTGCTTTTAGAATATAGCTCCCACGAACCTTAATCGCTATTATCACATATTTCTTAAATAATATCTATAAAATTAGTAGAAATGAATAAAAAATGCTTCTGAAACGCTTTCAGTAATCTCACTCTTTGATTCAAGCCCTGTTTCATTTTGAAAATATTATGGGGTTTTACTTTTGTTGGAGCTTAGCTTATGTTATTCCAAAAGCGTCCAGGGCAACCTTCATCCTTAGTAAACTCTGCGTCTTCTTCAACTCAGTTTCAGAGTCGCTTATTTAGTTATCTATGTATTCTGCATCGCTGTTTTCGCTGTCACTGTCCTCATCAGATAAAATATTAACGCCGTTTTCTTAATCATTACGCAACAATTCACGGTACAGTGATTTTTAATTTCGACAGTAACGATAAATTTCCAATAGAGACTTTTAACTACCTTACTAATTAATGTATTACTCTATTGAAAGCATTGCGTAACATTTAAAAATAATTGAAATTGTCGAACGTAGAGCATTTATCTTTATGAAATTAACAGATATGGTGTTAAGTTCAAGTTCAATCGAAGAAAATGCACGCGTAACATGTGGGCTATGTCAGTAGGGGTAGCAACTAAATCCGCAGACAATAATGCGTGTAGTATAATGTTTTCGTGATATCTGGAGTGGACTGAGGAAGCGTAGGCAAGTTGATTATGATTATCAAATAGAAAGTGCGACCTTACAGCTTATTGAAGCATTAGCTGAATTGCACTACAGCAAGAAATATTTTCGCGTACGGTAGGTACACAGATCATTATCCTGTAAGGGTCGATGTAGTTTTTTCAGGATCGACTACCTCCACACAGTACAAATTAAATACGATAACAGTTAACCAGAATGTTTTGTCGACGTTGGGCAGCTAGTCCAGTGGCATGGCCACCTCGGTGCCTAATTTGACACTAATGAATTTTTATTTATGGGGCCATGAAAAGGAGTTGGTATACATGTCGCCTATTACCACGGTGAATAAATTACGAATTGGCATTCCCAATACTTTTCGTACAATTAAAGTTGTTCCAGTTAGATGGGATAAATTTCGACAAATACACAGTTGTTATTTTTGCATTGAAGCTAACGGTAGACAATCCAAATACTTTATGATAGGTACTGATTTATTTCTTACTTTGACTTGTTTACAACGTAGAAGTGCATTCGGCACGTTTCCAGGTAGACAAATGAATAACCGACCGATCAAATGAGCGACATGTAAGTATGGGAATCAAATTCCATCATACCACAACAGAAGGGTTAGTCAACTAAATACAGGCTCGTGTTCAAACAAATTATACGTTGAAATTTACGAGAGCGATTTGCGTGTTCAATTATTAATGGATTACAAAATGTAACACTTTTTTATTGTATTTTGTGTCAAAAAGTTAAAATTTTTTTTATTGATTATAAACGGCACACCCTGTATAAGCCTGAAACGGTTGCTCTATTTCTTACCATAATTGGTAAGAGAACATTGCGGATACCTACGGTTCAAAGTGCTGTGTATCGTTCTTTCGTGCAAACCTCATTTAACCCTGCTTTCATACAGACGGTTTTCTAACGGTAACCGTGCCGTGCCGTAATTTCATTTTGCTTTGCGTTCACACTGCACACGGTTTTTTACTTCGGGTTTAGTTTTGTTTTGATACGTGACCAAAATGGACGAAAGAAAAAAAAGCATGTTGTTACTAATGATATGGCATAATCGCAGAAAAACACAGAAAACAAGAAGATTTTGGATTCATCCACTTGCAAACAGACAATTGATGGGTGAATTTGTAACATTATTTCATGAGCTACGAGAGGATAGCTCCAAATTTTTTAATTATTTACCAAAGGGTGTAATATAATGTTTAGTCAAATATATGTTTTAATTTAAATATAGCGGTGTTATTATCCGCCACACTATATAATTTCTTCTATTAACTGCACAATTCAGAGAGAAAAACGATCCTGAAAACAATTTTTGCCGTGTGAACACACAGCACGTGTGAATACTTCTATACACTTACTTGTCTTACTGTTGCCGTGCACGGCTACGGCGCCGTGCCGTTGCAGTCCCCATGCCGTGCTGCGCCGGCAGCCGTGTACGGCTCCGGCAGCAAACCGTGTTGTGTGAAAGCTTGCATATAAACCAATGTATTACTATTATACACGACAACCCCAACAACAGAAAACCCTGCTTTCACACAGACGGTTTTCTAACGGCAACCGTGCCGTGCCGTGCCGTAATTTCTTTTTGCTTTTCGTTCACACTGTACACGGTTTTTCGCCTCGGGTTTAGTTTTGTTTTGATACGTGATCTAAATGGACGAAAGAAAAAAAACGCATGTTGTTACTAATGATATGGCATAATCGCAGAAAAACACAAAAAACAAGAAGATTTTGGATTCATCCACTACTTGAAAACAGACAGTTGATGGGTGAATTTGTAACATTATTTCATGAGCTACGAGAGGATAGCTCCAAATTTTTTAATTATTTTCGAATGTCCATTAGGAGTTTCAGCCTAT